AGAATTTGAAAAGTCGGGTAATTTTCTTTCCGCCCCCCTAATTTTTTCCTTCCGGTACGCCCATGGTTTTAGATCGGGAGGCGTCTGAACATTTATTGAAAAATTGTCGAATATCGAACTTAAGACACAAGAGTTAAGAAAACTATCAAAGAGTTAAGCATTTGCACACACCTAAATTGTCGAGTAAATCATTACCCTTAACTATAGTCAACAAAAGTTATAGCGAAAAATGTGGATTATATATACCGTATAGTAAACCTACGAAAAATATATTTGTATGATTCAGTTTAAAGAACTTTTTATACAATAAATTTATCGACAGTCACCTTTGGTTCAATTACTTGCATAATATACTTCTTGCACATGTAGACTGTAATTATTTCTAGTTATTAGGTTGTCACACTCATTATTCCGCTTGCATTTTCACAGAAATGGCAAAACATCGAAGTCGTTCCTTGTCGCTGACATTTTTAGTTTTTGACAACCTTAGGAACCACGTTCACAAGGCAAATTTCAGTAAGGTTGACGCATGCGCAGATGTTTTCCGCGGTGTTCTTGACACCACGTTCGCAAGGCAAATTTCCGAAGGTTGACGTTTTGTGCGCAGACGTTTTTCCGCGATGTGAAACTTGAGCACAAATCATGCCAAAGATAATATGAATAGACATTTTAAAGTTGCAATCCTATATTAAGGGTCTACGCCTCCATTCAGAATACTTCACATAAATATTTTATACAGCGCCTGGGTCGAGGAAGCCCCCTTGTGCGCGTGCTGTGTGCATGCATGTGCATGTGCATGTGCATGGGAGATATATTTACATATCAATATGAAAGTTGTGATGTTTTTAAAGCATTGGTGGTATTTTTCAGCACTCTCGAAGCCGACGAGTACGCCGAAGAGTACAAATACCGAACCGTCAATTATTACTTCAACTAAAGGTAATCTGAATGGCCATTATAAATTAAGTTAGAATCTTAGATTAAGGCTCCTTGATCAACTATGGATAATAACTACCCCATGATACAAGTTTAAAATTATTGTAACGGGTTTTTAAAATAGATACGAACGTGTGATGCGATTTTAGAAATTGATTCAGAAAAAAAATTCATTCATGTTTATGGTCGTTCCTATAACCACAAGAAAATTACTGACGAAGACACGAAAGCCAACAAAATATACGAGTTGCTCGAATAGTTGACTCTTGTTGGATGAATTGTGCAATATTTTGATATTTTTATACTCGTAAACACGTGCAATTTTTCCAATTGTATTCATTTACAACTGATGGTTTATCTATGAAATTATCAATGGAAAATCAGGTTTCATAATCCATGCAGGCTCCATTAACGCTAATTTTTCAATTTTTTATGGCATTCCTCGTTTTCAAAGTAGTTGTAATATTTGAACTAACATAAACTTGCAGTCCGCCAACTTGGAAGTATTAATATTTGGATTTACGTTCTGACGTTATCGAACCAAGCCTTCTTTGCCATTTCGCACAAGGAAAATATAGGCGGCAACAAGTGAAAGGTCATATAACCATCAAGATTGCTCTAAGACACAAGTGCAATTGTGATAAAATATAATGACTTCACAGCTTACAAAGCTCAATAATATTCGAGTGATCGTCGAACAACAACTACAATAATTCAAAAGCGCGCAAAGGAGCCGGAAGCGGTCCTTGCACTAAAGGAGCCGGAAGCGGTCCTTGCACTGGTCATGTGACCTAAACTGACCGGAAGCAAAATGCCTTGGGTACGAGGTTGCGATTGAGTCATTTTAAAGCCAGTCCAATAAAACGCAATGATCGACATGAATGAAATGTGTGTTCGAAACACGATATTTAGGTTCCCTCAGGTTCCTTTGGGTTCTCGCATAAAATGCAAAAACAGTAGTTGTTTTTAGAACCTGCCGATAGCCCAGTTTATTCAAAATTTCCAAAAAGCATAAACGACAATAGAAATAGAGTATAAAAGGTGTATTTCAATTCATCGTATTGTAAGGTTTAATTAGATTTTCTTAGAGTTTCCTAGCGGAAACTCTAAGAAAATCTAATTAAACCTTACAATACGATGAATTGAAATACACCTTTTATACTCTATTTCTATTGTCGTTTATGCTTTTTGGAATACTCCATCATTGGTCTTCCCTGGTGATATATTCACCATGTTTAGGACTATTAAATAAGCTGGAATAATAAAAATCCAGACATATATATATATGAAAAATTTTAAACAGGTGGACAACGCCGTTGTTATGGTCGATATTTGCATATTACAGAGTTATTAAAAAGTAGTTCTCGTATTCTTGTCTGTTTTCAGACGATAACTTTGCAATTTTTTTCCGGCTTCATTGGAATACATTTTGATGGGTCTTACGTCTGGTACGAGAAAAGCTGTCGGCACGTTGATGTATTCAGTTCAACTTCACACATCTTATACTACACAAAGCCCAGCTAATATCTAGAAGCCTATCGTACAATATCCAGCTTGGAGCTGAGTCTAAATAGCTTGGAACGAGCCTAGGCTAAATAATTCGGAGCCTAGTCAAATAGTATTAATGGTCATGACTATACTCTTCATAGTCATGATTATAGTCTTAATAGTCATTACTATAGGAAGATATAATATAAGGAAGATAAGCAAGATAAAGACAAGGAAGATAAGAAGATAAAGATAAGGAAGATAAAGATCAGAAGATAAAGAAGATAAGGATAAGTAAGATAAGCAAGATAAAGACAAGGAAGATAAGAAGATAAAGATAAAGATAAAGATAAAGAAGATAAGGATAAGCAAGATAAGCAAGATAAGCAAGATAAAGACAAGGAAGATAAGAAGATAAAGATAAGGAGGATAAAGATAAGAAAGATAAAAAGATAAAGATAAAGATAAAGATAAAGATAAAGATAAAGAAGATAAGCAAGATAAAGACAAGGAAGATAAGAAGATAAAGATAAGGAAAAGGAAGATAAGGATAAGGAAGATATGGAAGCTACAGATATGGAAGATAAGGATAAGGAAGATCACAAGATAAAGACAAGGAAGACAAGAAGATAAGGAAAAGGAAGACAACGAAGATAAGGATAAGGAAGATAAGAAGAATGGAAATTTTCAGTAGAATGTTTATACATTTATTAGACCTGACCAGGAATGCCCAAAATTCTGATATTTACCCACACCTCCTACATTGGAATCACCTTAGTATTTATACACAAACTTGTGGTTAGAGCTCTACAACTGTCTCTTTGTGCTCAATTGGCCATGTTAGACGCTTAGAGCGCTGCACCGGAATCACAGGGTTGCAATCTTATATTAAGGATATATGCTTCCAGAATACTTCATATTAGTATGTATAGCGCCTGGGTCGAGGCAGCCCCTTGGTCTTGTGCGCGTGTTACGTGCATGTGCATGAAAGTACATTTGCATATCAACATGAAAGTTGTGATCTGTTAAAACTTAAAAGCATTCCTTGTATTTTTCAGCACTCTCGAAGCCGACGAGAGCGCCGAAGATCAGGAACACCGAACCGTCAATTATTACTTCAACTAAAGGTAATCTGAATGGCCATTATAAAGTTAGAATCTTAGATTAAGGCTCCTTGATCAACTATGGATAATAACTACCCATGATATAAGTCTAAAATTATTGTATCGGGTTTTTAAAATAGAAAATAACGTGATGATGTGAGTTTAGAAGTTGATTCAGAACAAAATTTCCATTCATATTTATGCTCGTTCCTAAAACCACAAGAAAATTACTGACGAAGGCATGGAAGCCAACAAAGTGGAAGCCAACAAAGTATACGAGTTGCTCGAATAGTTGACTCTTGTTGGATGAATTGTGCAATTTTGATATTTTTATAGCACTTAAACTGAAATTCGTGAACACGTGCAATGTTTTCCAATTGCAATCATTTTCCACTGATGGTTTATCCATACAAAATTATCAATGGAAAATGAGGTTTCACAATCCAGATAAAAAAAGGAGAAGCCTAGCTCCATTAACGCTAATTTTTCAACATAACATAAACTTCGGTCCGCTAACTTGGAAGTATTTTAATATTAAAATAATTGGATTTACGTTCTGACGTCATGCGCCCAAGCCTTCTTCGCCATTTCGCACAAGGAAAATAGGCGGTAACAAGTGAAAGACCATTTAACCAACAAGATTGCTCTAAGACACAAGTGCACTCGTGATAAAATATAATGACTTCACAGCTTACAAAGCTCAATAATATTCGAATGATCGTCGAACAACAACTACAATAATTCAAAAGCGCGCGAAGGAGCCGGAAGCGGTCCTTGCACTGGTCATGTGACCTAAACCTCTGCTGTACAAACAGCAGCCCACGAATGCCATAATATCTCACGCTGCATTGCGAAAGATCGCCATTCTTATTTTCTGTTACTGACGGCACACAGTATCACCTTTCCTGAATCTGTCAGATCTTCCGGACTGTGTCGTGCCTTCATTGCAAGCCATGACTTGTCGTGCACGAGTTAGGAATTGGCAGTCTCAAGCTGTTAGGAAGGGGAATTTGCTGAGATAATGATATAACTGAGGCAAAAATTAGCAATTTGTCCCAACATTAATTCCAGGTGAGTTACTTTTTGAGCACGTGTGGCGTTTTGCTTGTGGCATCACTTAACTATCATCCTCGAAACCCGATTCGGGTTTGTACTATAGTTTCTTCGTTGGTTAAAATCCTCTGTTTAGGAGCACGATTTTTGGCGAATTTAGGACTGACTTTCCACCGCGCTGGCCGCAAGGTGGTGTGTCTTGACAACTTCTAGTCGGAGAAAATGCTTGTCGACTTTGACTTTGTATAGGCAAGTTTCACTTAGTCAAAGCCGTTTGCTTACAACAGAGTTGAGATATATCGCTCACCAGGCCAGTTAACCGACCAGATCCAACTAGATGGGGTGATCGAAACCAACAACGCCAATTTCAAAAAGCGTTGATGGTTTTCAAATCTCAGTTAAATAACCTTACACCCGAATATCTATGTTCTAAATTTACTAATCGCAATAATGTAACTCCTTATATACTTCGAGACTCCGTGAACAAACTTGCTGCTCCTTTACCTATAGCTTTTAGCTATAGTGGTGCAGTGTTATGGAACAGCTTACCTTAGCAATATAAGACAAGCAGAATCTCTTACTGAATTTCAACAATTGTTGAAACATCACTATATTCGATAGACACGGCATTCATGGAAAACAGGTATAAATATTAATGTACAGTAACATAGGTTTGAAAAATTTTAAACTTATTAATGCATGTAGATAAAGATTTGACTGAGATTGCTCTAAGACACCTAAGACACAAGTATAATCGCAAAAAATATGACTTTACAGTTTACAAAGACCACAATATGTAATAGCGCGCGGAGGAGCCGGACGTGGTCCTTGCACTGATTTATTTTGTTATGTGTGACGATGGAGACCATATAGTGAAGTGAAAGCACAGTATTTTTGTTTATGAGTACCATTTATTTCATTAAATCGCACTTTCATTGTTTCATCCATTGTTGCTTCGCACTTTGCCATCTAAAATGGCGGACAAGAGCCGGTGGCATGGCTTGAAAAAGACTAATTGAATTTACGTTCACACGGGGCTGGATGAATTTGGAACCGTACTCAAATTCGTCCGGTTCTACATCTTCACACGGAATTCGAACCGAATTAATTGAAGAAAATGGAGTATTTGCGTACGCGTGGGCAGATGGTCTCAGTCGCAAATCCCAATCCTCTAGAAACCCGCGACCTTGTTCTGTATTACATACAAAGCCTGACACAAGTCGCTTTCCACCAGTCGCTTTCCACCCACACTATAGTTTTATATTTAGTATTCAATCAAAATATCCCAGGAGAAATATGATCAATTTCACATAGAACAACAACAACCTAATAATAGTTACAACACTAAACATAACATCATATAATTAGCATTAACCAATCAAACGTTGCATTAAATATGGCGTGGTACTTATGCTAGAAATAGCCAATCAGAGCTACAACCGTACAGGCGTTTGTAGGACACACACTTCTAATAACATTTGTATCAGGCCTTCATCAAGGCCTATTCGCAGGTTCTCCTCTACCGCACAAATGGTCTTGAAAAAGGCAGATTCCGCTGTTCACATGGCGCCTAATTTAGGAGCCGCTCCAGTACAAACAGAGACCTAATCTATTTGGTCTCGATTTCATATAGTTAGCTGTACTGGAATACGTCCCGTGTAAATGCAAGCCGAAACAGGACAAACTTGAGTAGGGCCTGCAACACAATAATAGTGCACACCTGGAGTAGGATTTATTTTCAAGCAACTCTCTTTCTATATAGATCAATCATCAGACACAAATTCCAGTACTATGTCAACGAGTATGGCTCTTTACATCTTCCTACCCTTGATCCTCTTGGCATTAATAATCGTCATAATCCTGCTTGTGCGCAAGAACAGAGCATCTAACGAGAAAGAATCTCCGAGGGAAGAAAATAATAGAGAGATGGAAAACCAAGGGAACAATAACCAAACATATACAGAGAGTGACGGATATACAGATCTGCGTCACAATCGCGAGCCCGACAATACCTATTCATCTCTGAACCTTTACGAAAATGCCGATGACAATTCTGATCGTTCGTATGTGAATTATGGTCGTTCGTATGTGATTGGTAATAACATCAACTATATCAATCCAGAAGCACAACGACGTTCTGCGTATGTGATCCCCCCGCCGAGTGATAATTATGAAATTCCAGACTACAGATAATGTAATAATTTTATAGCAGTGACGGACCGAAAAATTAAGAGAGGCCATTTAGGTTGCTATCATATTATCATGTAGTCAACAGACTTTATAATATAGCATTTGTAAATTCTGAACGCTCAACGCTGATTGGCTAAAAGCCGTTCGGGCGTCGTGTTTCCACACAATTACTCGTTTTCCCAATTTCCACTCGTGTTGATATAACTGTATAACAATACGGAAGATGTTTTATATTTGTTAAATAATCATAAATCCCTTATCTCGCAAGGCAGACTATGCCCTTTCGCAAGTTGGAAATTGAAATTTGAGACTTTTGTCACAGAATAGAGACCTTACAGAAGCTCTTCGTTTTGCCTATGATTTTAGCCGCGCAACCGTTCCGATGCTGTCGCCATGTTCAAAGCCAGTGCGCTTATACAAGAGGCATTTAACCCGCTGAAAATATTGGATGTTCGGGGGGGGGGGGTGAATGCTTCTCGTAAGCGCACTGGCTAGGAACATGGCGATATCATTTTCATTTCCGTCCCCAATTTTTAGAAAGGCCTGCTGAGCATTGACGTACATATCTGGACTGCTTGCTTGCTTGCTTGCTCGGCCTCAAAAAGCGTGGTCACACAATGGCGGAAATATGAGCGTGATTGCTATTCAATGAAGCTCAATGGTGATTTCTCATGAAGACGACCACTGACCAGTATTCAGAGCTGTTTGTTGGCGTTTCGTATTATCGTATTGCAGTTCTGCCGTGTAGTTTCAAAAAATATTTTCAAAAATACTCTTTCAGGTTTTTCTTTTTAATGTGAAGTTTGTGGGTGAGTAAGTAAATATACTTCTCAAATTCATTAATAATTCATGACAATTCAGCCAATGATAATCACCTATTTGATCACAAGATGCCATTTGGATAACAGTAGTAATATAGGGGCCGATCGGGCCGGATTTTTTGGGGGCCGCATCATTATATATGCAGGTAATTACTATGCAAGGGGCCGCTCATTATATATGCATTAGGGGTCGCACATTATATGCAGTTCACTTAATATATGCATATATTGACGTCACGCGGGCAAGCTTAAACAAGATCGGACAAAACTTGCTGACAAGACATTTTTTAGCGTCTCTCCACGTGTGAGATACAACAGAGGGATTAAGATTAGTTCGAGTCCCTCACATGGCAAAATTGTTATCGAAATTATTATATAGCCGTATAGAGTTATAGCCGTATCTTTGCTCGGAAGAGATACATTTCCACATTTACATTGAAGGATTTTCGTATGTTTACAAAATTATAGCGAGGAATCTATTCGTCACAAAAATCGAGACATATTTTAAACAAAACTAAACAGTTGCTAATCCCAGGTTAACATGGTTGCCAACGTCGTTGTTATGGTCAATATTTGCATATTGTTCAACATTAAGGCCTTCTCCGGGTCCAAAAGTCGCCTTAAGTCGCAGCGACATTGGGCGACATTGGGCAACTTAAGGCGACTTAGGAAAATTTGAGGAACATTTGGCCGTGACTTAGGGTGATTTAGGGCGACTTAAGGCGATTTAAGGCAACTTAGAGCAATTTAAGGCGACTTAAGAGGAATTCCAGACAGGCGTATCTGGGATGTATATCTAACACCCCACTCCTGGATTACACAATTCTGACCATAAGTCACCAAAACTGGTTTGTCCCTTCATATCTTCATAGACTTCATATATAAACAAACTTTGTCATTTATAGTTGCTTATGACACTAGATGATATACTACGTCTATAGAAATTGTATATAATTATGTCTATAGAAAACCTTCTTGTTTCAGAAAGCCAATCATAAAACATATCATTGTTGGTAGATGTCGACTGATAAAACACACTTTTGCCAGTATATAATGCAAATACATTCCACATCATTATTGCTCAACTGTATCCCTTATTTTTATTAAATCACAACATAAATAAAATAGCAACATGTCTAACGGAAATACTACATAGTTCTAGTTAATTTAGTTTGGTTATCCAAGAGAATAAGTTTAAAATTACCTTAAACTCTTAAAGTGAAGTTAGTGAACAAAAAATACAAATATCTATTCTTTGAAATGTCTCAGTCAATCTTTTTGATGATGCACTGTGTAAGGTGGCATGAAAATTTTCATGTTCTATCATCCTTTACACGTTTTTGGAAATAGTTTCATCCTTCCCTGGGATCCAGCCAATTTGCTTTTCTCCATAATTTGGAAAATAACTGTAGAAAGCCGCCATCTTTGTTTTACGGCCTGTTCGCAGGCGTATAGCCCTAATCAGTGAACTGTAAATGCATGTAAATAACCTTGGTAGTGTTTTAAACTTGGCTTCCAAATCCCCAATGCCATGAACAATGGCTCGGCTGCGCCTCGCCATTGTTCATGGCACTTGTATTTAGACCCCGTTTACACGGTACCGGACGAATTTGTGACCGGACGAAAATTCGTCCGTTTCGGCCGTGTAAACACACGAGAAACACGGAACCGGACGAATTTGA